GGTCGACTAGTACCTGGATAGCTCCAAGCTAGAGGTGAGAAAAAGCCTCGAAGTGTTTATTATAGGTGGAGTCCAGGCAAAAGAAAGTGAAAACTAGACTGTGAGGCCACGAGGCGGGAGCATAGAGTTTTCGAAGGATAAAATTAGGAATTACAAGTCCCTCTAAGCCACCGGTGGACGACCTGATCCTGGGTACTAGTATAAATGGGTGTTAGGCATGCAGGTCGAAGTTCTGGTCCCGGTCTCATGTTTCCTTACGGGCTGAGACCCTGATGAGGAAGGGCTGGGGCGGAGGACAGACAGCAACTTGCAGCCATGCAAGCCCCGAAGTCAGACGTTTCCCCCAGCACACGGTCGTGAGAAATTGGGAAGAAATCGACCTTGGCTGGGCTGGGATTCGCGAAAGAATCCCTGCTCGAAAGTTGCGAAGTGGGTTGGATGTTGACGGCAAGGGGAAAAGGTATTGTATCCCGGTCAGGGATCTTCTTCCAGCGCGCCGTACCATGACCGTGCGGCTTGGTGTGGGACTAGCGGACCGTTGCTACGGTACTTATTGAATACCTGTTTTCGATAGTTGATTTATCCCCGGAGATATTGTACCGCGGTAGTATTGCGTAAGGCGGTCTCCGACTAGAGCCTTCAACGACGCCCAGGACGCCCACTCGACCACGAGCGTCTCCATTGTCTCTCTTCAAAACCGCCAGGTCGACAAGTATGGGATTGCTCCAGTAATCAAAAGATGGTCCTGATCGAGCCGAATTCTGGCATGCGATCGACTAGGTACGCAAGAGAAATCACAGATAGGCGCGGAGCACGACAGATAAGCCCATATGCAGGGAATAAGGGACAACCCGAACAGACCACTGCCGCCGTGAACGCCAGGACACACCTTACGTTCTTACGACTTGTCTGACGCTTCCTCCTCCTACCCCCCAAAAGAGGCCACAGATGGTAAGCCAGCTGGAGATTTTATGGAATTTATTCGGAAAGAAAGACGAAAATTCCCGCCTCGCTTTGGAACGTAGCGACGAGAGATGCTGCCCCCCCAGGCTTCGGCGACTGCAAGCATGGCCAATTACTATCGACGTGAATTTTCCGCATCCAAGTTTGTCACGTTGCGTGCATCCCAGGGTTTCCAATGTTGTTTTGAACCTGTGAGAAGAAACGCGCCCACGATGACCCCTGACGCCCGCAGCGAATCAGCAACGTGCCAGGATGTGATCTCATTCGTGAGCCGCGAAGTATTGTTTGGGGGTTGCAGGCTACTGGGTTGACAGTCCAGTAGCAGCGGGGAGCCTATCGTCACCGCATGCGAATGCCAAGAGTTCTCCGAGAAGTCCTTTTCCCAAGTGGGGAGGGCTTCAGTGTTGCATTCTCGAGAGCTACGCCAGCTTCATTCCCCCATTCCCCTCAGTGCAAGATCCGGTAGAGCATTATGTTCGGTACTGTATAGTCCTGTTAAGTGCCGACAAATTGGGAACTGGAGGTCTGATCATTGCTAATCATTGATATGGATCTAATATCAGAGCTTGATAGTTCGTAGGTGAAGTCGTATTGATCTTCACACGATATCGAGATTAGGAATTACTCCCAATACATACATACGACGTATAATAGGTAGGTACCTAATGTAGCGTAGCGAAACCCTCGGAAGACCATCGATCTGACAAACTCGCAATACTTCGTATGTATGCGCACGATGCATATCTGCATTCCGGAAACCCACAGCGACCTTGTGTCAGACTGTCCAACCGTATGTGCTTCGGGATGCCTTGCAGATTCATCAGATTCCCCCTTCGTTACATAATATTCTAAAAGGTATCTATCGGTACAGTACGATTCAAGTCACATATGTGACGAAATGCAGAAGGGAAAAGCGCTATGCCCTTTCAGCGCCGATCACTTTCCAATATTAGCCCGTACCCTTGGCTGTGGAAATGTCAATGGCAGGCTGGCAAGGGTTTTTATGCGCTTTGACAGGTTCTATCCGGATACCCAGAACACATCCATATGCAATGTGCCCAGATTGGCTCGTGATCAATACCCAGAGCTTAACATAACAGCCTCACAGACCTCGGAAGACAAGATAGACTTTTGACATATGTTTGGGTTGGTGCGATGTTTGCTCGGTAGTGGAGTTGAGATTATCTTGCACGTTTTTCTCTAATCCTCTGCCGTGCGATGGCAACACGGAAATGGACAGTTGCATGTTATGCATATGGATGTCCTCAGCTCAGCTGACATCCCATTCTCGTCCCGCACAATTCCAATTTGAGAATACGATTCCTGTACTCCGTTCCCCCATTCGTTCGAGGTTACGAACGACTTGATTTTCTGTACTGAACTTCAAGATTCTATCTTGCAGCAAAAAGGGCACTGGCTGCACAACGCAAGGCATGTATCCAGACGTCCGGGAAATCTAGACTTTGCTGGCCTCGGCACTTGGGCAAGATGCTATCGAAACTAACGGAAGAGTCGGATGGCTAACAGCTAATAGGGATACTTCTATTACTTCATAAGCCCCATTTCCATACAAGATATCCAAACGTAACATATTGCTCTCAACTGGCCGAAAGCCTCATTTTTCACCGTCCCCATTAGCTAGGCTTAGGTAGGCATAGCTAGGGCATAGCTAAGCAAAGCTAGGGATAGCCACTACAGCAAACCTCCCACATCCGATCCTCTGTGGCGGCGACGCGTCTGGTTCCGCCCTCAGAGTTCCTGCAGTAGCGGCCGGGGAAGCCGGGATTTTCCACGTTGGCTGGGTTCGTGTGAGACTTCAAGAATTCTCCTCCGCCTCTAAATATCCTGTTAACTCAAGGCATCGTTGTGGCGCCCGTCAGATCCGGCAAGGGAGAGGGTTCTAGGAATTCCATCAGATGTGATATATTTCTGTCATATTTCTATGACGACAATTGTTTATATCCCGCCAACATGCTGGAGAATAAGACGCGATCATTTCACGCGTGCTAGGTTAAACCATGAGCTATATTATAAGTGCTACTTCAGCTGAGGAGCGCTCTTTCAACCCAACGACCCAACCGGCTCCGCTTAGTGGCTGCGGTATATTCCGTGGGGGTGGTTCTGGAATTAGACACAATATGCGCTTCCAACATGATGTCCCCCTTAAAAATCCTTCACCACGGCATTTCGTTATCATTGGTAACCTGCCCATCCACCAGGACCTTCATGCAGCTATTCCGGTGGCTGCTGACCCGAGTTTAGGGTTCCTACAGCAGGCCGTCAGCAACAAGCGAGAGAGGGGTTGAAATCCTGCTGCTCGTTACAGGGGGGTTGGTAATTTAGGTATCAGCAGGGCCGCCACGAGTCAGGAGCGCGGAATGGGACTGTTCATCTACCGTAGCCGAACCACCGGGTCCGCGTGCGGTAGCGACCGACGATCTGTCAGCAGTCAAGAGAACTACTCCAGGAATTTGATGAAGAGCGGCCGCAAACGTGGCCCTGACAACGCCTCAGTGGCCTTGTGTGCATAAAGACGGCAATAGCCATAGATATGCGCGAATCAAGGGTGACCGATCCTAGAAGCCGCTGGCAGGATGCAGGAGATGCATTTATCTGGACGCAATGCCGATCAGAACGGAGCTGTACCCCAGCCACGCACATATCTTCAACAACCAGCTCGCAGCCGGGTCTTCGAGAACGTGGTATATGTGAATAGCTGCTTTTCTCTCGCCACGTTTTCTAGGTCGCCGACCTGTGCTACTTATGCCACGCGTAGAGCTAAGAGTTTTAAGATATGACCACCCATAAGATAAGCCCGCAGTTATGCGCATTCTCCTAGGCGGAGTAATAGTATTACGTATGTCCGGAGTAGAACTTCCAGCAGTCTTGACATTTGATACCTACCTCCATTCCCGAATGGAGCCCCCATGAGGGTCGCCGAGGTCGAGAGGCACCGGCTCTCCATCGTCTGAATCCACTTGAACCGAGGTGTTCGGCAGCCATGGAGCAGTGAAATTAAAAATTTTTCAAAACGCTTACTAGCGTCTCACACCAATCATCATACACACCTGTAAGAATTTGAATCATCCTAAAACTTCCAAGGCAAGAAGAGGAGAATCGCCATTTGATAGCTTCAGCTTCAGTTTTACGTGGCCAAGACTTATTATGGCGTCCTACTCTTGTACCCCCATCGCAGATATGTTGCGTTAGATTGAGGTCTGGACGGGAGCCCCTTGGCCTCGATGCCAAAACCGTAACCTCCTTAGTAGTCGTAGCCTTCTCTTAGACACTCTTGGCAACTAGAAGCCACTGATTATCAATATTAAACAGCGCTGCTAAGTCCGACTGCAAGAGTCTGCATTCTTCCCGAAACATCTACATCCTCTACCATCGCGGAGCGGCAGATGCCATTCGGCTACTCTGATTCGCTCTGATTCGTAGGAATACGAACCCGGTGGCTATACCACGGAAGTATGTGCGTTCGGGATCTTTATGTGTGTGTATGTACGTTTCGGCACTCGAGGTCAGCCAGAGGAGTACCTAGGTAGCTTAGTAGCGAGACGCCAGTAGTAAAATTAAACGTAGAGCTTGGCGGCTGCAAGAGCTCCTGGAGACATCAAAGCCTCTAAGCTGAGCACGACGTGGTAGTCTAGATTCTAGAAGCATGCTTCTGTAAGGCCAATCTCCATTTCCCTAGATTGGAAAGGACATGTAAGATACCAGCATGATTCGGTATACTTACGTGATCTTCTCCACTAAACTGATCCGGATCCGCGATGAGATATCGAGGGCCAGACCACCTGTGAGGCTACTGCGCTTGCTACCAGCCTTCAAGATAGACGTTGGCAGTTAGATAGGTAACTTGGCATAGTATTGTGCTTGCGTTAGAGTCTTGTCCAGAGATCGGAGGTTCGTATTAGAGGCTGTGCTTTGGCCAACCCTAACTAACCCTAAGCGGGCTCCAACTGGGACACACAAAAAAAAACGCAAAAAATGAAGGGTTGATTTTCCAGTTAACTGGAAAGCATCAGGAATTGAGCCCGATGCGGGGGTCGAACCTAGGCGGACTTGTCAGTTTGGATCAGAAGATGTCGTTGTGGATGTTGAACTTACCCGCAACCTTGAGATTAAGAGTCTCACGCTCTACCGATTGAGCTAACCGGGCTGTTTGCTCTCCGGAAGAACCGGTTGACATCCACCCTGCGAAAGAGTCTTATATACCTCAGGTAGGTAGCTAGTATGTTATGGGGCCAAGTTGGGCCCCAAGCTGGTGATGAGATTGTATAGCATCGTGATCCTAGAACTACCTAATGCAGGACTAGGCCCTGACTCATTGAAATCCATCAAGCGGTGGGGCGCTTTATCGTGCTTCCGATATGAGTCGAATGAAGAGCGTGACCAGGGTAGCGGTATAATTCTAATAATGCTTCAATTAGGGCTCACAAAGTGAGCATTCTAAAACATTGGAGTTGATATGAACCAAACGTTGAATCCCTTGTCACGGATGTGAAACAAATATTAGATCATGCTCATCGAGATTTCAGTTTACCTGCTGCAACAGGATCGCAAATAGTATTCATTTAGCTTATCATGGATAAACATGATAGAAGGGCATAATGAGGAGCTCACCACTTCAGAAGAATGTGTGTGTGGCGAGAGGTGATTATGTTGAATGATCTCATGCTGATGGGTTAAACATCACACACACCTACAAGAAATGTGTAGGAATACTACATGTAGACGTGTACAATATCACAAACTTACATCAGGGGCTCATGCAAGGGCATCAGGCATGGCTGTTAAGGTTTTGGTCAAAACCTCAACCTGCAAATGTTGACCTTGCATGATGTTGCAACGGCACGTAACCTTAAGGGTCCTGTCTTGAGTTAGCTTGCATGGCAAAACTCCGTTTCGCTAGCCTTGTGACCAGTATTATGACCAGGACTACTAAAGACATCTAACCGTGTTAACGGGTGTCACAGGTAAGTAATACGAGGCGTCAAAAGGGAGAATATCCGATAGGTTAGATGGTATTAGTTAGTTAGCCAGGACTCGATGTTGCAGTTTGTAGGAATGCAAGCGTCGTAAGGCTCTGGGTAACTGATGAATTGATTACATGTGATGTCTCACGGTGGGTGCTGGGAATGGGTTGATCAGGTTAAGCGCGGCTCAGGAGATTCGCTGCAGACATGGACATAGCCGCGATAAGTAGCGATAAGTAGCGATAAGTAGCGATAAGTAGCCTGTGCTGATTACATAACAAGGTTCGTACTGGGGTCACGTTCCCGGCAAGCATTTTGATCCCGTCAACTGACGTCAAGGGTTGTCTGGAGGGTAGCTCTCGTTCCCCACAAGGTCACAGCCCACCTGCATAACGAGCGATTGTCCTTTACAAAGTTCCGTTTCGTCTAACTGGTGCTTCCGCTGCGGCTTGACTCTTTGGTCACGGCCCTGCACAAAAACATCTACACTATCGTTCGACTTCCCTGTCACCTGGACACCACAGAAAGACCCAGCTTCAGCCTCTGCGAGCTGACGAGGTGCTATTCTACCTGTGTGTGTCTGTGTGTGTCGTGCCTAGGTCGGGCGTTCATGCCACGATCACCTTGAAATCCCGATCCTATTTGACACCCGTCAACGTCTAGACCGCCACCTGCATACTGTACTCCATATCGATATCCATATCCTTACCTAACAACCTACCCTCATCTCCACCCCTCCCCTCCATCTGGTGCCTCGCGACAGCGTTTGGCTGGAGGTTGTCGGGTTAGGTAGCTTGGCCACAGCTCTAGGTTGCCTTGTGTGACACTTGACCTACGGTAGAGAACCTTCTTTATCTACTTCATACGTCAACCTCTTTCTCGTTGCCGACATGGCTCCCGACCTCAATTCACTTCCACCATCATCTCCGTCATCTGCACGCCCGCGCATTATGACCTCTTCAAACGGCAATGGAGACTCTTCCATTCGAGGAGATTCGGCATCACCTTCTCCTCGATCAGCATCTACTTCGTTACAAGCCGCCGCTACAATGAATGCTGGACTCCAACATGAACCCATGCGACGTAGGTCTCAGTATTGAACTCCCCTAAATTTACAATAAGCTTTGTACTTACACAGTTCTTCTACAGGCTCATCGAGCAGCTCCCTCTCACGTAACCGACAATCCCCACAGATGGGCCGAAGACGCTCTACGGTCCTGATGAACCTACAACTCAACGATCCATCCGTTCCCGGCCCGGGTGAGATGGTTACGGAGAGCAGCGGGTATGGAGCAACAAGCCCTCAGCCTATGGCTGCATCGCCTCTCCTTGCTGGAGGGGATCCCCACCACAACAGAGCCCCGAGTCTAGGAGAGCTACATCAAGAACTTGAGGCAGAACAGGAAGCGCAAGTGGTATGTTATGCCGTATCGCGTGATTGAAACCTCCTTTGGTTAACATAGGTAACGCTAGAACCGACTTTTACAAATGATCCGCCAGCAGCAACTCCAACTACAACAACTCCAAGGAGCACAGGGCCAGAGCCAAACAAGTGTGGCTGCTGAAGATGCGACTCCTACTTCGGAGAGATCCAGCTCCGTCGTTCTTCCGAATGCGGCTGCACAACCAGTGTTCCCCGCGCCATCCACTTCAGTTCCCCGTTCACCGGTCTTGTCACAGCCTCGTTCTTCGTTTGACATGGCTCGCGATGCCCTTCATCGCAGATCGAGAACGCCAAGCCGTGGCGCCCCGTCCCCTAGACTGAGATCAACGTCCATCAGTGTGGAGAGTGGGGAGCCGTTGCTTTCCGGAGTCCGTGACGAAAGCGCTTACTATCAGGCTGAGACCCAGTCTTTGGTCCGCGAGAACCAGATGTTGCGTCACAGAATCAGAGAACTTGGTAAGATATACCTCATGGTAGCACGATGACACCATGCTTACATATGCACAGAACGACAATTGAGCGAGGCCCATGCAAATACGGGTCTTACACGGGAACCAGCACAACATTCGCAGCTTACACAGTCTACCTCAGTGTCCGAGGAAGAAGGCGCAGCAGGTTCATCCTCTGCTGCTGCTACGTCCGCTACCACTGCTCAGCCCGCTGTGGTCTCGGAGACCCCAAAGGATGAATAAAGTAATTTGGGCTCTGATCAATAAAATTCAGAAATGGTATTAAGGCGTTTGGTTGTCTAACTTGCCATGAATGTACTTACGGTGTTGGCGTTGCCGGAAGGACCGATGAGACGGACCCAGGGGAGAGGGATACGATTTGACGAAACAACGTGGCATTTGCAATTGTTTCCGGATATTGCTCCTTGATACATTCTGTGGCTTTGGCTTTACGATCTCTGTTCTGGACAGGGTCATGGCAAGTGTGTACATTTCCCCCCACCACTCATAGAGTCTGGTAAAATGTGATGCGAATCACTGGACTTCGTCAGCTATTGTACAAATAGTCGGAGTAGTACCGAATTAATCAACTCATATGGTGTGCCGTGGATTAAGAAAGCAAGTGGTCCTAGTCATTTTATTCCATCGTGACGCAGATTTACACTGGTAATACTTGGTATGGTTTGTAAGGGGGCAACTGATATCAATGGCCTATATTGTGATGGACGCTAGGTATTTTAATAGCTTCACAGAGTACCTACGTAAATCTACGAGGGACGCACTCATTCGCCTCGAGGCTATACCCAATGCTTCAACAACTAATGAGAATTCTAATAACTTGATAAGTCTCGGTCACCGGTATCGTCCACTAAAGCCATTACATTACATATTATTAGGTCTGTAAATGATAAATCGTTAACCTAGTTGCTGCCGGAGACAAAAGTGGCATGCACGAGATAATCGCTAATAATCGCTAATGCAAGCGTTCCGAGCCGATAAGTTGATAAGATCTCCGATGTCGTCTCAGATTAAGTTATGATATCATGCTTACCAGCCCTCACCTAAACCAACCCTCTCCATTCAAACCTTCAACAGCGTTGAATGAAGATGTTCGCTAGGACGGCTCGACGCCAATTGCAGTCCGGCAGGTTAGTATGTCTGGAGCGGTCATTCTCTAGCACGGCACCGGTTAGAGCCGACTTCACTCATGTTGTAAGTTGCATTTCATACTTGCTTTTCCCGACCAGTTGCTATCTGACCGGGGAAGATTTACGTACCCGCCTATCTTTAGATACATACACACATACACACGTACACACATACACACGTACACACATACACACGTACACACATACACACGTACACACATACACACGTACACACATACACACGTACACAGACCTTGACAACTCACAGGCTCACCCCAGGTCATAGGCGGCGGCGCCGTCGGCCTCGCCATCGCGCGAGCCCTCGCCTGCCACCAGCCCTCTGGTAGTACCGGCAGCAGCACGCTGCTCCTAGAAAGACACCCGCGAGTCGGCACCGAGACCTCCTCGCGCAACAGCGAGGTCATCCACGCGGGCCTGTACTACGGGCCCAGCTCCCTGAAAACACGCCTCTGCGTCTCCGGCCGCCAAGCCCTCTACGCCTTCTGCAACCGCCACGGCGTCCCGCACAAGCGCACGGGCAAATGGGTCGTTGCGCAAGATGCGTCGCAACACGAGACGCTGCAGCGCATCCACGCGCTGTGCCGCGACGAGATCGGCGTACCGACGCGATTCGTCGGCGCCGAGGAGGCGAAGCAGAAGGAACCCGCTGTGCGCGCCGCCGCGGGCGTGCTGGAGAGCCCGGAGACCGGCATCGTGGACTCGCACGCGTTGATGGCGGCGCTGCACGGGCTGTTCGAGGACGCGGGCGGCGTGACGGCGCTAAACTCCACCGTCGTCGGTATCGAGCCCCTGCCCTCCACCACCTCTTCTACCACGAACCCACGCCCCGGAAGCGGGGGCTGGGCCTTGACCGTCCAGGACTCATCGACGGGCGAGGAATCGCGCATCACGACAGACGTGCTGGTCAACAGCGCGGGACTCGGCGCCGCCGACATACACAACCTGATCGTGCCGCGCGAGCGGCGCACGCGGCTCTACTACGCCAAGGGGAACTACTTCAGCTACGCGGCGTCCGCGCCCAAGGTATCGCGGCTCGTGTACCCAGTCACGGCGCCGGGCGCCGGCGGGCTGGGCACGCATCTGACGCTGGATCTGGCGGGGCGCATGCGGTTCGGGCCGGA